CAGGGCAAGTCACGATAGGCCATTTTCAGTTCCTTAAGCCAAGCAGACGCCCATCCACTGCGCCACCATTTTTAAACAAAAGCCCAGGAAAGACTTTGTTCTCCAGTCTGTGATTTGCTTTGTCCTCGGCTTCTTTTACAGTTTGTGACACAGAAATAAATCCGGCTTTAACCTCTCACCAACCTACAATATCCTGTTGGGAGCAGCGCTGTGACACAATGATCTCGTTTGTACACTGAGCTTTCATTGCTTCATCTTTGCTGGCATCTAATCTGGCAAAAAGTGCCTCTCCCCCTTGAATTTATTGGATTAATTCACAGCAAAAGAGTCGAGAGAGCTCAGCAAACTGGCAAACAAGTGCTTGTCACTGCTGGAGTGATTACTGTCATATTTATGTTCCAAAGACTGCAACTAAGTAAAAACTTGGTCAGTAGTTCCAAGAGAGAAAGAATGATGGCTCTGAGGCAACAGAAGACCAATCCCAACTCTTGCACAAGCAAGCACAATTCCCAGGCGATCCAAGAGCTATTTTGCTAACCTACACTAATGCTGAACTGAACCTAGTACTTAACTACAAATGTGGTGAAATACATTCCAGTCATTTAAATACATGAAAACCAAAGAGCTAGGAAAAAGTATAACATTCAAATGCATACACATTAGTTCTGGGCAGACACTACAAATGTCACCATATTTGGTTCTGCATAGTGTGCTGTGATATTCCATAGCCTTATGTGATGGACGCCATAACCTAGATGCTTTATGCAAGATAGCTCATGTAACATATCGTTGGAAAGGCTGTGAATTACTGAATATGATTATTTTTTGTATGCATGTACAGGAAACCCTTGCCATTCACAGTGGCTGTGTTCCTGGCACCACTACGAATGGCGAAATGTACAAATACGAAGAGCTGAAACACCTGGCCCCTGGTGAGTTCCCCTGGCTCCCAAACTCATCACAAGGCCGTGGAGAACTCACTGAAACTTGCAGGAGCCATGGTGAGCTCCCCACAGATCTTGGCCCCTGTGGTGAGCTCCCTGCAGCTCCTGAGCTCACTGTGGTGAGCTCATCACAGACCAGGAGCTGCTGGGAACTCACCACAGCTCCTGGTAGCTGCAGTGAGTTCCCTGTGGCTCCCAGCCCTCGTGGTGCCTTCCCCCAGCCAGGAGACTTGTGAGTACACAGAACCATGAATAGCGATTCTGTGAATCACGAGGGTCTTTTGTATCATCTTTGGAGATAAAGTTAGGACTATAGACCTGTGTATCTGTAATTTCGTATTTGCTGCTTTGGATCACACCCACTGCTGATGCCTCTGGTACAACAGTGAAAGAGACTCCCGTGCTGGTGGGTCATCAGCAAGGCTGTGTCTACATTGGCACCCCTTTCCGGAAAAGGGATGCTAATGAGACCAGTCGGAACTGCAAATGCCGCAGGGGATTTAAATATCCTCCGCGGCATTTGCATGAACATGACTGCCGCTTTTTTCCGGCTCGGGGTTTTTCCGGAGAAAAGCACCAGTCTAGATGGGATCCTACTTGAAAGTAGGAATAAGGGATCTTCCGGAAAAGGGTTTATTTTATGTTCATGCAAATGCCACGGGGGATATTTAAATCCCCCGCGGCATTTGCAATTCCGACTAGTCTCATTAGCATCCCTTTTCCAGAAAGGGGTGCCAATGTAGACACAGCCCAAGAGACAGTGAACTGTCTAAGCTTAATCTTCCTGTGATCATGTAGGTCAGCCCATAAAGAATGGCTACAAAGACATATGACCATGTCACCTGGTACAGAATTCAAGATGGGTTCCAGTAATTTTCTATGAGCAGATGAAAGGAGATCATACCAGGAAACAAAGGACTCCCATCTTATGCAAATCCTATTTAAGGTTGGAGAGTGAGGGAATCCTCGTGGACAGTTCTCCTCAGCTGCTCCACCCAAGATGACTGCAGGAAACAACCAAGACTCTACTGGGGAAAGGAACTGGGCCTAAGCTGGAAGGGCATCTGGCCTGCGAAAATTATTAGAACCACATTTGGAGTGAGATATATTACATGTAACTAGTTCCTTTAGTGTACAAGCTTAGCTTGCATGTTTGTTTGTTCTGTCTGTTACCTGTTATGACCACTTAACTCCTGTCTATTTACAGTTAATACAATTACTTTTGTTTAGTAATAAACCCAGCGTAAGGCTACGTCTTCAATACCAGGAGACAGATGCTGCAGCAGCCACTCTTCCGGAGTTTGATTTAGCAGGTCTACTAAGGACCCATTAAATTGAATGCTGATGGTACCCCCGTCGATGCTGGTACTCTTTAATTCATGAGGAATAAGGGAAGTCAACCAAGCATTTACTCCTGTCAACCTCTCGCTGTGGAGATGGCGCCAAAGGTCTAATCAAGGTACATCGACTCCAGCTATGCAATTGACGTAGCTGGAGTTGCGTATCTTAATTCGACCTTCCAGGTAAGTATTGACAAGGCCTAAGTAATTACCACCTGGGGGAGAAAGGAGCCTGTGCAATCTCTTTTCATTGAAAGAGAATTAATTTTGTGAGTTTATACTGCATAGCTCTCTATACAGCATAAGGTAGATTTATTTAGCGTTCAGCTCCCAAAAGAGGTTGTGTACTTGAGTATCAGGAATAGGTCTCAAAATGTACCACTTTCAGTCTGTGCCTGCACTCTTTCTATGGAAAATAGTGGCAATCGTGAAAAATTTGTTTTCTGAGAAAATTGTGAGTATTAAATTGACAAAATAATACAGCGCAAACACATTTCAGTGCTATAACTGGTGAGTTTAGCCACTTAAATATGAAGCTCTCAGTAGTTTCTATGCAATGTGCACTGGGTTATCACGCTTTCAGAGGAAGATAGCACATTTATTACAATTAAACATTACTGAAAAAGGAGACTGTCTTGCTGCTGTTGACACTCAATGGCATGATTCCAACATACCTTCTGAGGGAGTCAATTCATACAAAAGTTGGGGAAGAGAAAAAGCACCTCTAATGCCATTGCTACGCATAAAAAAAAAGCCTAAGATGCTGGTTCTCGTCTCGGTATCCCCTAGGGCACAGGTGGAAACATCTGTACTCGTGGGCTCTATAGGGATATTGCCATGTGGTGGTTTTGCTAGGGTGTTCCTTTCTTGTGGGGGCTGTAACTGTAGCTCTTGAGTGTTTTGGAACTGGTCTAGCTAGCTCTCCAGCAAGTCAGTGAAAGGGCTCTAGTTTACTTAGATCCAGCTGCTGAGGAAGCCATTTATTTAAGCCAGTGGGCAGAGATTGGCTTAGAAGAGGGCCACTCATTATTTATAGGGTTTAGATGAAAAATGATCACAGACATGAGTCTAGCAGCCAGCTAATCTCAGGCATAAACTTCAGGGCTAGAGTGTTTGTTTCCAAAAAGCAGCCCCTTTGCTGCAGGGGTGAAGTAAACTGCAACCCTGGCCAGTGCATGAGGGGTAGGGAATGAGAATCAAAGCCCCACCAGCACTCCCCTCCCAACTGTGCAGGAGGAAGACCAAATCCATCGAAGCTGCTTCACTCTGTGCTCTGACAGCATGCGTAGCCTGAGGATAGGTAAACACCTTTTTTTCCCTTTGTTCCTAGAGAGGGTGTGTATGGGAGGGAGGAGAGCCATAATCTTGCCCAGAATTAACCTAGCCAGTTGACAGACAACTAAGGAGGACAACAAGCAGTCTAAATCAGTATCGGTACAACAAAAAGCACAGGAGTTCTATGGTTTACATGTATGTTCTTTACTAAAAGTTCAATCTGCAAAGGTCAGTATACTAAAAATATTCCAAATAAAGGAGATGAATACAGATATATGCCAATGCTAACAGCAAGAAACTGTGCCCAAACTGTTTTCCTGATAAGAATGAGATAAATAAAAAGGCCATGTCCTGCATTTATCTGCCACAGGGCACACCCTATGAAGTTAAGAGAGTGTCTGAGGCAAAACTTGATAGCATGATTCAGTTCTCTAACCCAGCTCCCATTAAAATCTGGAGAAAGAGTCCTGTTGACTCAAGTAAGTAGGGATTAGATTCTGTCTTTAAATAGTGGTTTCTAAGAAATTAGATTTCTCTATCACACGTTTAGAAAGAACGACAGACTTCTCTTCTTACTCTGATGGTGGTAGTTAAAAAAAATCTACTGGAGAGATGATGTAGTTGCTTACAAATTTCTGTTAATGGTATTTTCTGTCCTGAATTGTATCTCTGTCTCTTCCAACTTGTCCAGCTATTAGCGCCATAATGTTTAGCTTTCACTTGTTAAAAAAAATTACATACAGATTTTCATAAAGTTATGCCTCCAAGTCATTTCAGTGAAATACTAATTGCAAAGTTACTTAGTACTATTAATAACATACTTTTACTTCTAATTCTAATTTGGAGGACTTTTTTTTAAAAAGTTAAGTTAAATACTATTTACTAAAAGAAGTACGTTTTCATTGGTCACTGTTCAGAAAGCAAGTATTTCTTTATAGTAAGTGCATGACAAGATACCAGAACTGTGCACTGGGTGCTAAATTACTTCTAGAAATACTATATTAGTAAGTAGTAGTATTTATTGTACTTAAAACATATAAACAATAAATCATTGTTAAGGCCCAAGCCAGCAGAAGTATGTGCCTGGATTCCATGGTGAAGATGAGTATGGAAGAGGATGTTCTAGGTGGATTCTGTATCTCTGGCAAAGAAGCTGGACATAATTTTGATGGATTGGGCCCTCTGAGTGACAGCTACATAGTACGATAAACAGAGGAGTCTTTTTTATAAAACAATACACCACAGGGGGGAGCAGACAGCTATTTGTAAACAATCCTGCTACTTGTAATTCAGATGACAGTACTAAGAATGTTTCAACTCTAGAGTCTGAAGAGTTTGATTAGATATCTACAGTTTCAGCACTGGCAACATTTCCATCACTAAACAACATACAAATCTGCCATTCTCACCACATTCATCAAAATGAGATTTTTTTAACATACAAATCTGCCATTCTCACCACAAAATGAGATTTTTTTTGGGGGGGAAAGCCCCTGAAGTCCTTCACTATATGTGGAAAATTAATGGAGGGGAATTAAATAAATTAAAGGGACACTGTCAGGTTAAAAATAATACTTAAAAAGTACTTTCTTAACTGAATGTTCCCAACAACAGATTGGGTCTCCGATCTTGTGAGTTGCAAAGTGCTCTGATTCAAGAGACCCACCCTCCATCATCACAGTTTTATAGTTACAAAGGAAATAATTTTTTAAATTCTCATTTACTTTCTAATATTTATGGGTCAGATTCTGTCACCCTTGATTGATTAGCATCTGACTCTGCATGTAGTCCCAATGATTCCAGCAGGGCTACTTATGGGGATCAGGTCTTACTCAATTCATAGATTCTAAAGCCAGAAGGGCTGTTTCACTCATCCAGACTGACATTCTCTTTATCACAGGCCCTGGCATTCCCCCTCCCCCAAATTCCTATTGCAAATCCTCTAGCAAAACATCCAGTCTTGATTTAAAAATGGTCAGTGATGGATTTGTAAGGAATGAAAGGCGGGGAATGAAATGAATGCAGTTCTACATAGGTTTATGGAAAACAGATCCTGGTAAATTAATTTGATATCTTACAAGTTTGGATGACAGAGGTAATGGTGTTGGTGTAATATACTTAAGACTTCTGTATGGCATTTGAGTTAGGATGGCATGATATTTTGATTAAAAATCTAGAATAATATAAAATTAACATGGCACATCTTAAATGAATTACACTGGTCAACTGATAAAGTCTCAGAACGTAACTAAATGGGGAATTATTATTTTCATCAATGACCTGGAAGAAAACATAAAGCAATGATAAGGCATGTACCTCTTTCCATAATTACATACTTGTCCTTCAGCAGGGATATTAAGCTGAAGTCTTTGCCCATGTGAAAATTGAAGAACTTTTGCCAAAGATATAACAAAATGGGCCAGATCCATTCGTTTCAAAGGGGCTACATTGATTTATACCAGTTAAGGATCTGGACCTCAAAGGGTATCAACACAGAGGGTGTATGCTCACCATCCCATATAAGGTCAAGTCTTGAGATCTACAGAGTTCTCCTCTGTTGCTATTGGTAGATTGAATCAATTTATCTCTGAAATATGAGTGGTAGAGATCTAAGAACAGATGTAAGATTTATGGAAGGCTAAACTGCAGTGAAAGATATTGTGAATGATTAAAGGGTTTTTTTAAATAAGATTAACGATGTCATTGTGCATGCCAAGTCCTGGCATCTATTATTTACTTTGCACTTTGGCAATTTACCCGAAGGGAGAGGTCATGATCCTTTGTATATACTGTAGGCTCATCACTGAGAGAGACAACTAGCTAATGCCTGAAAATGCAACTTTGTTCCATGAGAACCAGGCCTAACCTACCTGCTAATATTTCAAAATACCTTTCCAGCCATGGCTATGGCAAGTCACCATGCTGTGACAGAATTCTTACAGGTATCAGCCCTGCTAGCCAGAGTGTCTAGGAAGACTTTCATAGGCCTTCTTCATTACCTGGCAATTCTGGAAACCCATTGCTATGTCTCTAAACAATTAGCATTTCTGAGACTCCATTGACAATTCTAGCACTCCTTTTTTCTTTTGAGTTGGGATTGGTGTTTTTTGAAATGGCATCAAAACCATTGTAGCTAGCCAAGGTATGTAAAGGTTAAGATTAGCAAAATACCTTCTTTCATCACCTTCCAATAGATGGGTAGTTGTGCTAACCACATTTTCCAGATACTATTCAGCCTATCTGAAATATATAAATAAAAATGCTTTATAAATTATAGATTTTTTCTTATCTCTAAGACATTTGGTATAATGTACCAGATATAAACAACAAAAAACTCTTCTTCCTCTTTTTGCTCTATAACATGCAAATACCATAAAATCGACAAATAATGTCAATTGGCTAACATGTATCTACATTAACAGTGACTGATTTCAATGTGTTTTCAGATGCTTCAGAAAGGTTGGATGCACTGCTTGTTGCTGTTGTTTTATTCTGCAGTTGTGTATGTGAGACACCAGGGAATAATTCAAAGCCCAAAGATAAAAGTTTACCTAAACTTTCAAAAGTCACTGTTTAAAAAAAATTCAGCCTTATTTAAAGATATAAAATAGGTAACAGTTTTATGGGTTTTATGCTTCCCTTTAAATCCCATTTTCTCATCCTGATAGGCTCCTAAAGTGTGGGTGAGACGAGCCACTTGCATTTAGATTATTTGGTTGGGAAGAGTTTGACAGTCAGTTGAAGAATTTTTCAGTACATCCATTGGAATCAGCGGAATGGGGCTATTTTGTTCACACACAACCGTCTCATATGGAGGGGCAGCCTCCAGAGTGAGTGCTGTCAAAGAAATTGATGAGATAGGCTGCTGCAAGTCCTGCAGTCTGACTGGATAATTAGAACACCTTCCTGTAGTCCCAGATGCTGCCTCCTCTTCCAACCTGATGTTTGTAGACAATTCATTCCTTTGACAAGGGTCTGTCAGAGAATAGGGTGGAGGATCATCTGTAGGAATATAGATTTGTGTTGCTCCAGGCCCAATGCACTCATCGTAACTGAAAGAAAACAAATTCAATGTTAGGTTTGTAGGCAGAATATATTAGACCCTTGTGTTCAAAGTAAAAGAGGCAGGTAAAATAAAGAGGAAGCAATTATTTGATATTCCTTCCTCCAGGTTGCAGCCTCGACCTGCCACTTTGGAACCTCAAGAGCATGAAAACTTAAAAGAATATCTTCAAAGAGGTAGTGAAAAAGTCAAGCTAAGCATCAGAGTCTAAATGAGTGTTCAAGTCCAACCCTTTCCGGTGGTGGTAGCACCTCTCAGGCTCATGATAGGAGGTTGGGGAATAACTTACTGAAGCGTTGAAAATGATGCAGCTTATTTTTTGTTTTATGGCAATGCCCTCTATGACAGTCGCTGTAAGTATTATGCTCATTTTGCAGACAGGGAATTGAGCCAGAGAGAGTCAAGCATACAGGGAGTCTGTAGTACAGCCATGAATTGAATGCTGGTCTCCTGAGTCACAGTCTAGTAGTGCCTTAACCACAACAATATCCTTCTTCTCTTCATTTTCCCCACTGGGCTAGCTTCTTTTTGCTGGCCCGGAGGTGAAGGGGTTAAAGCTCCAGCCATTCCATCTCTCTTCCCTGTTCATCTGCTCATGTTCTAACGGGGTGAGGTGTCTTACTCCCCCTTAATCCCATGACGGGCTGCTTGACGGTCAATTGCAATCTGTCCCCAAATAAAGAAATAGACTGAAATTTCCTGTCCAGACCCCATCTTGCTCAATTGAATTACCAGCCAGTTTTGCTGGAGCCAGATACATTAAGACTCTATTTCCTCAATCACATTAGCATCTGAGGGATGTCACAGGCCTCTTCCTCTACTATGTTATATTTAGAAGGGGCTTGATTCTGCCACTTTATTCATGGTGAAAAATACTTTTGCCCATGAGTAGGCTGGGTGACTAGAACTGCTGGCGGGTGTATGTATCCTATTTCAGCATGAACAAAGGTGGCAAATCTGGCTGCAGATGAAGTATAAAGTTAAAAAATGCAGCCTGCATTGCTAATGTATCTGGTTAACAAACAGCTCGTAGAGCTAGTAGATGTTTCTGTTTTTAGCTTCATGAGGATTATATGCTTTTAAACTCTGAAATTCAGATTTCCCTATCAGAAATAAATGGCTTTGTTTTAATTTGTGATGTTTAGACCTTGAACAAAAAATCCATTTTTTTTCTTCTTCAGAAACAAAGCCTAACAGATAAAACTTTGAGTTCTTTTCATATGTCACTTGAAAAAGAACCTGGACCATTCTTTATTAATCCCACTGAAGCTTCCTGCTGCATTTTATTTTCCTTTCAATAAACTCAGACCTGGAGCCAAGGACTAAGCATCTGATGCTGTAAAGTGCCAACTCCCAATGAAGTTAAGGGGAGTGAAAGATACTCAGCACCTTGCAAGGTTGGATGTTTATTCAGAACAGCATGTTTATTTTGAAGTGCTTGAATCAAAGCCCAAGGAGGTGAATGGGAGCCTTTTTGATGGCAATGGACATGATGGGGCTAATAGAACACCCAGACAGGCTACAGGTGTTTGACCAGTTACTAAAAACACAATCTGTGAAGCAGAGAAGAGCGCTAGCATACTACTGGACTATAAATCGACACAGCTTCCTAGATTTCATTCGGGTAATACGAGCTGAGTGAGAATCCAGCCCTAACAGTGCATCATCACTCATGTCAAAAATCATCTGGAGCTCAGAGTGCTCATTAACATTTGTCACGCCATCATTTGCATATTCTTTGCTGATGCCTTTTGCAGAAGAGGTTTTTGTGCCAAAAAACATAGTGTAGACAGGGCTATTTTGTGCAAAAAACCCCTTATTTCTCAAAAAAACAGGTATACAGGATCTTGTGCAAAAGGGTTTTTTGTCCCGTCTACACTGCGTTATTTTTCTGCAAAAACCTCTTCTGCAAAACAGATCGGAA